CCCTGGAGAAGAGAAGGCTCAGGGATGACTTGGTGGCAGCCTACAAGGAGGGTGCATCAGGACCTGGGAGAACAGTCATTCACCAGGGCCCCTCAAGGGATAACAAGGTCTAATGGCCACAAACTCCTGGTAGGCCAATTTAGACTGGACATAAGAAAAAACTTCTTTACAGTCCATGGTCCCAGGGTCTGGAACAGACTCCCCTCAGAGGTGGTGCAAGCACCTACTCTGGACTCCTTTAAAAGGCATCTAGATGTTTATCTTGCTGGGATCATTTGACCCCAGCAGACTTCCTGTCTATGGCAAGAGGGCTGGACTTGATCTCGCGAGGTCCCTTCCAGCCCCTAATGTCTATGAGATCTATGAAAGTGATGCATTTAAACTGACAAACAAACGTACAAAGACAAAAATAGGATAGTGACAGCCTAGGTTATAGTAACATAGGAAAGGATCTGGGGCTTATAGTGAACTACAACCTCAACAAATTAACAGTGTAATACTGTTGCAATAAAGCTAATTGCATATTAGACTACAGAATATATTAAAAGGAGTCCTCTATTGAAGTCACAAGAAGTGATTCTTCCTTTCTATTTAGCACTGGTAAGGCCTCAGCAAAACCAGTGGTGTCCAATTTGGGGAACAACACTTCAGCAAAAAACATGGGCAAACTGGTAAGAGTCCAGAGGAAAGCAACAGAAATTATTGTAGGCCTAGAAAACACGATGTATGAAGGCAGGTTGATAGAACTAGGATTATTTAGCTTGCGAAAAGGGAAGACTGAACTGGGGGTAGATGACTGTGATCAAAGAGAACAGCTGGTCACCCTCCTCTATCAACAGTCCCTTTTGTATTTAATAACACGAGGACATCGCAAGCAGTAATGGTGTGAAATAACAAGATAGATCTAGGTTGTATATTAGGGAAAACTTTTTATGAAGATGGTTTAAGTACTGGAACCGACTAGAGCAGAAGTGCTCAACCACCAGCGTGGGAGCCAGATCCAGCCCATGGAGCCAATGCCATGGCTCCCCAAAGGTCAGAAAAGTTAATGGTGGGGGAACTGAGCAGTGTTATTTGCTACTGTCCTGCTGCCATTTTTGGACCTGTGGGAAACCTGCAAGCCAGATAGCATGGCCCTCCCTGCTAGATCAGTCATGCAGGGTTGGGGCTACATGAGGCCTGATCCAGGAACACAGGGCCATTTCATTATTTTACTGGCTTACAGGGTGCTCTTTCCTTCCTGTGACTTAGTTTCCCAATCTGTAAATGGTTAGTGACATTGATCCTGAATAATGATAGTGACCAAAAATCAGTATAAAAAAAAGCTCAATATTATGATCTTTTAAACTATATATATTGACTACTGTCACTTTTGAATGAGAAAAATTGCAAATAAGATTTCCAAAAAGCAAATGAAACTGGTAGTTACTTCTGTAATTTTTAAGGACCAGGCACGCTTTACACTTGGTAGGTCTGTTTGAAATTCAGAAATCTGCACATTGTTATACAGCATAAGCCCATTCTCCCATGATCCATAGACTGTCACAAGGTAGAAGGGAATACATTCCTAGATCAAAGTGATGGGCTTTTCTTTCTTTATGATGTCCTTAGCTCTGCCTGATAGCCATGTGTTAATTTATCTGAGCATTTTGGTACCCATCTCATTTGAGATTGCATTAGACCCCCTTTGAAATAGTACTAATATCTAATGAACAGTTTGAGTTCAAGTTGATTAGAACTAATTTTATTGGAAGACAATATTTGCTATTTAATAAAACAAATATATACCACCTATGATTTGTGTAGAAGGGCAGCATTTCACATTTATTGATCAAAGTCCTGTTATGAACTTGCTACAACTTACCAAGTCCTATGAAAGTATAATTCCCTCTTTTAATACATGCCATTCAATTCATGTGGCTATCAGACAAAGCAGTGTTTCTTTTGCCCATGTATTTAATGCAGTTCCTCTGAGATATTAAAGCTGACTGGAGCAGATGAGGACTTAGCTGAAATGCAATCATCACAATAATGGTGTTCCCAGAATTTCATATATTTGACAAATCAGTGGCCTAATTCAGATCTCATACTAGTGTATATTCAAGGAGTCAATGGAAATATGCCAGTGTAAACCTGAGAGGCAGGTATGAACAGAATCAGACTCCATATTTCTATGTAAATTTCCTCTGAATATGCTCTTATTTCATTTGCTATGATAAAAATATCCTGATACTAAAATTATATTTCTACATTTAATACAGGATAAAAGAAGAATTGCTATTCCATATTTATTATTCTAACAAGTAGAGATGCTTTTTTAATTTACATGAGGAATGGGGTCTTTGCATGTTAGCTTCAAATTAGTTGAATTAATTAATAAAACCCCAAAATAAAGCTCCATTCTTGTAAAAAAAATATTAAAAAAGCATAAATAAACGAGACTAGTTTTTGGTGTGGAATATGTTACTAGTATGGTATGAAATGATAGAATGTCGCAATTACTTTTACTATTAAACTAGTACTTCAAGAGGTTGACAGCAGTAACAAAATGAAATCACTGGGAGAGAAAAGGGTTTAGAGACCAAACAGTATATTTGTATTAACAGCAGATTTACGTTCGCACACAAAGAGAAAAAGATTGATATTTCTACATACTTTTCTTTAAAGTATCTACAAAGTGAAACTTTGGTGCCCAAATTATTTCACATGCTTACTACAGTTAAGTTCAAGGAAAAGCACATTTCTATGAGTAATTGATATTGTTATTAATAAAACTAGATTTTTCTTAAGAATTAATCTTGCCTAAGGTTTACACCCTCAAATAATGTTCACTAATAGTAATACCAAAGAGAAATAAAACCTCATTTGGATTACTATTGCTTCTAAACAATGGCATCATACCCATCACTGGTAGAGACATCATAAGGAAGACTTCTATTTTTAAAAAGGAACGTCTCCTCTCATGTCATTCATAGCAAGGTAATTTACTAAGGATAATACAGTCATTAATAGCAATGTTTGAAAGTTCAGCCCACATTTCTTTCTATGTCCCACTTGCTCACCACCACCCAGTAAGAAAAGCAAGTTCACAACCCAAATACAGCCCTCTTCTACAGGCTGCTTTCTGGCTTTTCTTGTGACCTCCATGCTCAAGATCAGCATATCTTCTGGCTGTCATTTTAGAAATTCAGGATCTAAGAAATGGCAGCTGTTACTTAGTCCATCTGAAACAGGTAGTGAAAATGATCAGTAAATACAGAAATAAACCAAAATCCACTTCAACATTTCATTATAACAAGTGCTCTCTCTCAGGCACATGATGTAAATTAAGAACTGCAAAGCTAGGAAGAAAACCCGAGTTATTCATAGAATAACAGACATCATGTTCAAAGTAACCTGCCTGTAAAAACAAGCAGTTTTAAACTTGTATTTTTAATACTTTTCTCTCATGTAAAACATTCTAGATTCACAAGAGGAGAATCCCAGAATATATTGTTCTGGTATGATAGTTAAGACATACTTGATAGAAAAGCTCTTTATGCTTATATATATTTTTGGGGTGTGCAAAGGAATATTTCCTGCTAGACTTAATTTATTTCTTTCTGAAGGAGAATGGGGTACAGTAAGTATAAGTACACTCCATGCATTGATTGACTACTACCTCAGACTTTAAAAAAATACAAATATCTGTACAACAAATCAAGAATGATCATAGGAAGTCTTGGAGGAATAAGAACAGATCTGAACTTATCTACAGAGTTGCAAGGCATTCTCCCTAATCAACATGCCAGGAAATGTGGCTGAGAGAGAGGCTGAGAACATAATAAATCCAAGACTTCCAACCTTCACAGATTAGGTTTGAAAAAGAGATCTGTAGAACATAATCCTATTGTTGTACTGCCTCGTCTATTAGAAAAGATTTGAAATGTGAAATTTGACTACAGAAAGGATCAATTTATTCCATTATTTAGTAATTTCTTGCCATGGATCACACCCATTTATGATTTCACTTGTTTAAACAGGCTTACAGTTTTTTGAAAACTTTACATATCATTTCAGGTTTATCATTTCGTGGCTATACCCCAGTGAAAATATGTTTGTATATACTCAGAGAAAAAATGCTAACACACAAGCATTTTAATCATTGTTATTATTCCGTTAATAGGTAATATAAGGGTAATGAAAATTTATAAACTGTGTCTTAAACTCTCAGTTGGAGAAAATATAGTCTCTCTTATACTAACTAACATTATTAATACCCTGTTTTTTAGGGCTTGATCCAAAGTCCACTGAAATCCATGGTAAGACTGATTTCAATGGCCATTGGATTGGGCCCCCACAACCATTTTTATGAGCATCCCGAACTGCATTACAAAGGAAGGTACATACCATTATTTCCCATTTACTGCGTCTAATTTTTACTCAGTTTTCCAACTGCACCTAGAGATACTATCCTGCATTTGTTTAAGATTCAAAGATACCGGTGCTTTTACATAAAGGTGTACACATGTAGATGTACAAAGCCCTAATTGACTCTGTTTCTTCTTTTCTACATTCTATTATCAATGTACTATTACCTTGTTAAATGTTGACAGAAAGACTGATTTGTTATACATGTTGTTCATGATTTACTGGCTATGGCAAAAACAGGTTCACCTAGAGGCACTGTAGACATACAAGCTGAAACCATCTTACAAGGGGTTAAGTTTGTAATCACTATCTAGAATATTTATAATCCCAACCACAGCCCAGTAATAGAAGAGGGTGGATCTAGAAGGTGCAGGAGGAGACGTGTTTGTGTGTGTGTGCCTGTTTTTTTCTTTCATGCATCTATATTGCTTTCTATTCTACTGGAATAAATCTTTTCCATTTTGAGCAGAAATCTGTATACTAGTTATCCCCTATGGATAGTTGAAAAAAAGACCTTTACTAGGACAACCACCTTTTTTAAATCGTTCTACTGAAGATTTCATTCAGGAATATTTTTTGCTTATTGGCAGATGAAAGAATGGGCAGATAGTTGGAAATCAAACTTTCTCCCCAGTAGAAGCAAACCTGTGGAGCCTGAACAATGGAAATAGTTGATGATAGTCTACTTGAAAATGGAACCAATATTTCTGCTCTTTTTTGTGATATTATCTTGGAAAATGATACATTTTTCTGTGTGGATGACTCGCCTCATCCTGCTAAAGGTATGTACATGAAAATACATTTTTTTCAGAAAGCAACAGTTTGAGCTGAAAGTAAAATCGGAGATATTTTGAGAGAAACAGGTACTCAGAGGTTTTTTGAGGCAGAGCAAAAACAAGCATTAGCTGATAAATTCAGATAAGCAACAGACTAGCAAGAAATTAATATGCCCCATCTCTTCAGTTTATAAACATGACAGGAAAGAAATATAAAGCTAAAATGAAAAGATAACAATAGTGATACCAAGTCAAAATACAGATAGCACCACTTGAATGCTTAATAATATGTACATACTCTGTAGTACTATTGGAAAATTCAGTAACTGCGGAGTTATATGATTATATGCAGCATATGAAAGTGATTAACATGATATGTGTCATGCCTAAAAAAATTACTAATTACAATAATACAAATTGCCATTTATTTTTGGTTCTTAACATGAGTTCACTGTAATTTAAATTGTGCTTTGCAATGCTTATTTTTGAGTAGCATGTACTTCTAAGTAGCCAAATATAGTTCTTAAAGTGTACAGTGTATTGAATATATTGTACTTAAACATTATACAGTTCAGGTAGATCAGAATCAAACTCAGAATTTACTTCCACCAGTTTTACTTTGGTGTAAAGATACCAGCTTCAGTGGAATTAAATATAAGAAAAGTCCACTGCCTTGAATGTTGAAGCAGCCTTTACCTTTTGATTAACAGATTAGACCTACTGATAAAAGCTAATACAGTATATAATTTGCATATTTTGTAACTAATTCTTTATTGTGGCAATTTTCAGATCTGCATCAGACAGTTCGGATTCTGCTGTATTCCTTGATATTTTTGCTCAGTGTGTTGGGGAACAGTCTGGTAATTACAGTGCTGATAAGAAACAAAAGGATGAGGACAGTCACTAATATATTTCTGCTGTCACTGGCTGTCAGTGACCTGATGCTTTGCCTTTTCTGCATGCCATTCACCCTCATTCCTAACCTGCTGAAAGATTTTATCTTCGGTAGTGCTGTTTGTAAAACTGCCACCTACTTCATGGGTAAGTCTCTCAATTGTAGCATTTTATATTTGCTCTAAAGATGAACCCATTAGGGTTTGTGAAATGCTAAATAAGGGCCAGATCTTTTAACATGCTAAGATATCCCAACCCTGGTTAAACAAAATTGAGTAAATGTTAAGAGCTCATTGGAAAGATCAGCACTATGAAATGCAAGTAGCACAAGCAGCGACTAAAACCTCTCACATATAAAGGTAAAAACTTTTTCTGCACAAGTAAAATGGACTAGAAGGAGTCCTGTTATGAAGAGTGAGGGTGACACCCATTTATAATGAGCATCGTGTTCAGAGTCAAATCTGTTCACTTCGGAGACAAATGGTTTTACCTTTGTTGGACCAGCAGAGTCAATACAGAAATAAGGACTCAGTCTTGCAAGGTGCTGAGCTCTCTAGCATAGACCAGTGAAACCTTTGGAACAGGTTGAGTGTTCACTACTTTACAGAATCAGCCTCTAGGAAGGGAGCTGCATTCAAGGCCCACTTGCTTATTATCAGCAGAGCAGTTAACAGTTTGGATTGCTGGGCAAATACATTACGATTGCACAACCATAACCAAGGGCAGAATTGTCTACTCCTAAGTGACAAATGAAAAGGGGAAAAACCCAGCCAGGTTTCAGCCTCCCTGTTGGGGCCTGAGGAGGCAGCAGGCTGTGAAACACACACACACACACACACACACACACTTTTATTTGTAAATGCATCAAATTTGTCCAGAAGTCAGTGGAGAACAACAATTATGGAGCCTCATGATACCATTTTTACACTCACTTTGAAGAAGCAATATCATTTTAAAAATGCTTTGGCTGGACATTTGTCTTGTTACAGAGGTAGATCCAGAAGCTGCAGGTAGACTGGTTTATGAAGCAGCTGCAAGCCACAATCTCTCACTTCAGAAGGTTTACTTAAAAAAATGTAAAGTAACAACAAAGCCATTCTGAAAAGCTTTTTTTTCAAATCTCAAAATCAAACCTTAGCAGTTCATTACAATAATGTATGTATGTCCAATCTGCATCCTTCAAAACTATGAGGTAGTATGAAAGTGCACTTCTGAAGTGTGGGAATGGGAAGTCAACATCTTTCTTTAGATATAAATCAATAACACTAAAGTCCATATTTAAACAAATTGTAATGAATGCTGACATGACAAAAATTACTGAAGCATTGTGCTTATAATGAAATAAGTACAAATATCAGACTATCACGTTAAATTATTCAGAATACACACACACACACACACACACACATCTATATCTACACACACACATTCCAGTATGAAATTAAAAATTACAAATTTAATTTTATTTTACAAAGCAGAATGTGGATTTTCCTGTTAATAATTTAGGCCAATGGTGCTCAATCTTTTTCCTCCAGTGGTCTGGTTCACCCGTGTACAGTCCATATGCTGGTTGGATCCAGCCAGTGGCCCCAGTCGGGGCTGGGGGATGGGGAGGTGGGCAACTTGGCCCCAATCCATCCCTGAAGGCAGGGATGGAAAGGGGTTTGACCTAGGTTCAACCTGGCCCCAGAAGGGAAGGGGGCATGACATGGCCCTGATCCAGCTCCACTGGGGTGGGGGGAGGGTGGCCCAGCTTTAATATAGCCCCACAGGGCCTGGGGTTTTTAAATTTGGCAGTGGTGGAGAGTGGCCATATTAAATTGCCACCATTCCCCTGCCACCAAATTTCCAAATCCGAGGGAAGCCCCATGGGCTAGATACCATGGTTCCATGGGCCACATTTGGCCCACAGGTTGGAGGCTGAGAACCCCTGATTTAAGTTAAGAAAGGAACAGTATTGATGAATAGTCCCTGATATGCACTGCATCTCCCATCCACTTAAACTGTCACTTTAGGATGCAAGAGGGTTATAAATATGAATACTACAAACTAGAAATGATTTTTGGCAAGCAACCTTTTATGTAAAAATGTTAATATCTTACATTTTTTATCTAAGAGAAAATAATTTCATACCAGAAAATTCCTATGTGACTTAAGGTTAAAGGGAAAGAATATTTCTAGTCATGCAGCAGTTGTTATTTTACAATTATAATTCCCCAAGGTCACAAGGGAAAAAAATATATGTATAACACAATGTGTTTAAATTTAATGCTATTTTTATATCTACTAGCAAGGAGGAAAAATGAACATACGTTTTATAGAATCAGGCTCTAATGCTCTACTACACTTCCTTCAGTTTGGTATTATATGCCTCCACTAAAGACTATGGAAGTGCATTTGATGTATGCTTACTTAATTCTAACAAAACAGGAAGTTTAGTGATTCATCAAAAAAAGATAATTGTGGTTATTTTATTTAAAACAAAAATATACTTATTTATTGCTATCAAATTAAATTAATTCCAGTGATTTCAAATGCCTGATTATATTTCAGCAAAGTTACATTAGCATAAGAACTGGAATAACAAAAGAGTAGATAATCATAGTAGGTAGGGTAGATTTGTATGGTATAGAGTAACCAAAAAATGTATATGTATGTTCATGTGCATATTTATACACACACACACCCCTGCACATTGATACATATCTATCTAACAACCTTTCATGGGCTAGAGTGCATGTGTGCACACACACAGAGCATCTGATGAAGTGAGCTCTAGCCCACAAAATCTTGTGCTATATCTCTACTTTCATTGGTCTACGACATGCAAATATACCTGCCTTGTACATAAGGTAATGTAAGAATCTTATGCGACTGACCATATAACTTCTTGCCTTGGTAGAACAAAGACAAAAGCTGTCAATTATTTTGTTTCATAGGTTTGAGTAGTTAAGTATAAATCTGGAATATCAGATTACAAAACCCAAGTACCAGAAGGCTATGTCAGAGCTACTGCCATAGTTTCCTTACTGTGCATTATGTACCCAGAAGTTTAGCCAAGAATCTTAAAAAAAAACAACCAAAAGAACAAAAAAGAGAGCCATCTGTCTTTTAAAAGAAGAATAGACATAAGTAATTTGTTTGCTTTCCATGTCTAGGTGTCTCAGTCAGTGTATCCACATTCAACCTGGTTGCCATATCTTTGGAGAGATACAGCGCCATTTGCAAACCTTTACAGTCTAGGGTCTGGCAGACAAAATCTCATGCTTTGAAGGTGATTGCTGCTACCTGGTGCATCTCCTTTACCATCATGTCCCCATACCCAATATACAGCAAACTGGTTCCTTTTACAAAACCGAACAACAGTACAGCTAACATGTGTCGCCTGCTTTGGCCAAGCGATGTCATTCAGCAGTCCTGGTAAGATATAATCGACTCTTAAATATCTGATAATTGTCTGGTATCAAATAAAATTACATGGTTGCATCAAGCCTGTTGCAAATCCATTATTAACCATTAGAAAAAAATTAGAATTCTGGTATGCTTATTTAGGAAGTTCCATAGACTGCTATTTCTTAAACTGCCTTTTTTCTCCTTTAACACTGTCATTACTTTTGCTTCACAAAGGTGATATGGTATATGCCAATAATTCTCAGACTACAGATGGTAAAACATCTGTTGCCTTTGTAGTGCTCTCCCTACTAGTAGAGCTCAGTTCTCTACTCCCCCTTTCAAAGTGTTTTTGATCAAGTACTCTTGAAAAGCCATACACATCCACACCCCTGTACCCCTTCTATGACTCATTCTTTGCCTGCGTAGAACGGATGTAGTTCCAGTTGTCAACAAATAAGATGACATGCACATTGGAGAGAGAATAAATGTACTCGAAAATGGAACCAAGCTAATAACCTGGAGAGATTAGAGCAGAAATGTAAGCAGGCAATGCGAGGAGAAATCAGTGCTATTAAAACGCAAAGCCATATGCCACGAGACTGTGAATAAATGGTAAAGATACAACATAAGAACATAAGAAGGTGCAACATTACATTGAAAACTAGTTTATTTTTACCTTGTTTCCTTAATATTTTCTTTTTCACATAACCAAGCACTTTGGCTATCACAGGAACAGTATAGGAGTGTTGTTAATAACTTTAGCAGAACCTGGGAACAAGCCAATAGCTGGTACTACCTAGTACTGGTGCATCTACAGAAACATTTATTGTGTGTTAATATTTTCAGTACTTATTATGCCTGCTATAATGAGCATGCATGAAAAGGAAAGTTAAAGAGTTAAATCCTATTTCCAGTGACTGGTATAAATATAGGGAAACTCCAGTGAGTGTGCAGTAAAACTACTGACAGCAGAAAATGTTTAGGCTCAAAAATACATGATTGCTTTGTTAATAATATTTTTAAACAGAACTTCTGTCTGTTGCAATCTTTTAATAGTATGGTTTGATGAATATACTGTAAGGTGGATAGAAAACTGGCTGCGCCATCAGGCTTGATATCCAGCTGGCAGCCGGTATTAAGTGGAGTGCCCCCAGGGTCAGTCCTGGGGCTGGTTTTGTTCAACATTTTCACAAATGACCAGAAAGATGGGATGGAGTGCACCCCCATCAAGCTTTCCTATGACATCAAGCTAGTGGTGAGTAGTAAATACATTGTAGGATAAGGCTAGAATTCAGAGAGATGTCAACAAATTGAACCAAAAGAAATCTCATGAGGTTCAATAAGGAGAAGTGCAAAGTTAAGACAGAACAATGCCATACACACCCATAGAGGCTGGGGACTGACTGGCTAAGCAGCAGCTCTGCAGAAAAGGACTAGAGGTTACAGTGGACAATCAGCTGAATATGAGCCAAGTATGCCCTTGTTACAAAGAAGGCTAATACTTGTTATGAAGCAGGCTAATGGTACACTGGGCTACATTAGCAGGAGGGTTACCAGCAGATCAAGGGAAGTGATTATTCCCCTCTATTCAGCACCGGTAAGGATACATCTGGAGTATTGTTTTAGGCCTTCCCCCCACACACTATAGAAAGGACGTAGACAAGTTGGAGAGTACCGCAGAGGGCAATGAAAACGGTTAGGGGCTAGGGAACATGACTTCTGAGAAGAGGCTGAGGGAACTGGGTTTATTTAGTCTGGAGAAAAGAAGACAGAGGTGATTTAATAGCAACCTTCAACTACCAGTCGGGTGTTCTGAAAGAGGATGGAGCTACACTGTACTTAGTGGTGGCAGATGCCAGAACAAGAAACAATGGTCTCAAGTTGCAGCAAGGGAAGCTGAGGTTAGATAGGAAGACGAACTTTCTCAGGAGGAGAGTAGTGAAGCACTGGAAACAGGTTACCCAGAGAGGTTGTGGAACTCCATCCTTGGAGGTTCTGAAGATCAGACTAGACAGCCCTGGCTGGGATGAGATAGCTGGGGATGGTCCTGCTTTCAGCAGGGAGTTGGACTAAATGATCTCCTGAGGACCGTACTCTAATTTTCTTTGATTCTATTATATTAATGTCATACAGAACAACATTTTAATAATACATTGATTACTATGTGTAATAAATATTGAGTTTCCTTTAAAGTGGATTTCCCACTATGTGAATGGTTCAGTACCAAAACAAAACAAAAATCCAGCCCTAGTATGTACCATTTTTCCTTTGGAATGGGCATGAAGCTGGAGGTGAAACAAATACCCATCTCATTCCCTTGCTCTGGTTGGCATGTTGTTCTGAGGCTGGGCACTGTCCTACCCCAGGAACATAGGAATGACCAGTATCAGCATCTCACTTATGCACTAGTAGGTGGTTTAAGTTTCCATATCATAAAAAAAAAACAACCCACCACAAAGCAATTAAACTGGTTCTAGTAGTCAAATATTGAACAGGCAGAGACTGAACCATCTCTTCTAATCCCTTAATTGTTGCCTATTCTATCTGGGTAGAGACCCTTTGAGTTGGCAAAGCAGAGAAACCAGACCTGCTTTTGTTCACACTATTTCTTCCGTGGGGAAAAATGGGATTCCAGCCTCTAGGACTGCCAAAGCAGCCTACCATGCATTTAACTAATGAGACACCTAAGTCATTAAACAAAACACAAAATGTGTAGCTGCTTTTCTGTGTTTTTGCTGATCCTCACTCTGAGAAGGACTCTTCTGTGGCTTCCACAGGTACACATTTCTGCTACTCATACTCTTTCTTATACCTGGGATTGTAATGATGATTGCATATGGCTTAATTTCCTTGGAGCTATACAGAGGAATTAAATTTGATGTCAGCCAGCACAAGTCTTCACGAGGTAACAGTACAAATGAATTATTTGTTTATTTATTTCTTTTTAAATAACAGATGTTAAGATGTGAACAGCCAAGCACACGATTTATTCCATAAACAGCAATTTCTGCTGGCATAATGTCCATGAACAGATTACAAAATTCATATTGGACACATTCATTTATTAAAATTATTAACATTATCTGCAAAGAATTCAGTTGGGATATTAGATTTGTAATTCCACTGTGCTAATTACATAATGGAGTGGATAATGTGCCTGCTTGCACATTAGATGAGTTTTGCACTAAGGCTTTGGACACACATTTCTTTGTAGTGCTACAAAAGACCATAATGCTACAAACATTAAATGCTATGGAAGTATGCACGTGGACCCAGACAGCTCCCTGGCTGAAGCACTACAAATTTGCTTCAAAGGTACACTCTCCAGCTGGGGGACAACAGAGGGCTGCTCCTTTGCCCCCCGTGACCCAACCACCCCTCCCAATCCCCCAACCAGCTGGATCAAACAGTTTGCCTTCACCCATTCCTGTACCAGCAGCTGTCACAGACTGCTGCTCCCCACCCCTGCCACCCTAATTTTAGGGGGCAGCAACAACCTCGCTGCCACTGCAAGACAAAGACAAAGCCAATGCTTTTGTGGCAGCAGGATCCCAGCATGGCTGTGACAGCTCACCACCATAGTTGGGCAAGCCGTCAGGGAGAGCAGAGGACTGTGGGACATTAGAGAAAGCATTCCTGTAGCCATAGACGACGCATAGGAGTTGACAGTGGGGGGGGGCACAACTCCATGCCACCCCAGTTGCTGCTGGGTGCTGGCTCTAGCCCCATGCCCTGCCACTAACACAGAAATTGCACCGCCCACACTGCTGCTGGGCCCTGGCTTCGGCCAGGCTGCAGCTGCAGCCCCAAGCCCAGCCATCGGCATGGAAATCTGGGGGGGCATGTGCCCCCTGTGCCCCCCACCCCATATCACCTGTGCTGGTAACAGTACATGGTAGATCCGCACATTACACATAGCACTACACAGAAGTTCCTTTGTCAAAGAAGAACATTTTTGTAGTGGAACCACCATTTTTGTGGCACTACAGATGGCTTGCATGTGTAGTGCTTTAAAAAGTGAGTCCGCAACTGTTACGCATGGCCAAGTAACATGACAGGAATCGTAACATTAACATACACATGTAATTCAAAAGTTATTTCTGGCAAAGTTAACCACTCTCTCTCAATATTCTGTTTTCAACAGTATGTAGAGTTAAGGTCTCTGAATGTTTCCAGAAACAGTCCCCAAATGGTCATATATCTGAGTGAATTACAATTTAATTTAGAACTGGAAGGCCTTTTTTCTTTTTACCACTAGTTGCTCAGCATCAATGCATGTCATTGTTTACTTCAGAATTTAGGCTGCATTCTTGGATTTATACTTTACTGGTGTTCAGAAATGTTGTGTGTGACCTATTCATGTATATGCAGAAAGAAAAGCCAGCACTGGCAGTAACAAGTATGAGGATGGAGATGGGTGCTACGTTCAGAAAATAAAAAAGAAGAAAAAGATGTCACTGCAACAGCTCTCCAGCACCAGCAGCACCAAAGTAGACAGGGCAAGAAGCAACACTTCAACAGCCAATCTGATGGCTAAGAAGCTCGTCATCCGCATGCTGATGGTGATAGTGATGTTGTTTTTCCTTTGCTGGACTCCCATCTTCAGTGTAAATGCATGGCGTGCATTTGACACCGCTTCAGCAGACCAGCTTCTGTCAGGAGCTCCTATCTCCTTTATTCATTTGCTGTCCTACACTTCTGCCTGTGTGAACCCCATCATCTATTGCTTCATGAACAAGCGCTTCCGCATGGGTTTTCTAGCCACTTTCACCTGCTGTACTAAGCAAAAGCCCCCTGCAATAAGAGGAGAGATGGTTGATGAAGAAGAGGGGAAGACCACAGGAGCTTCTCTCTCCAGGTGTTCTTACACACACATGAATGCCTCTGCTCCCCCATGAGCTGCCACAGAAGGAGCTACATTTGGCCAAATTCAAATACTTCTCTTCTTGTCTGGTCTTGGAAAGGTGATTAGAGTTTGACTCATAATGTGACCTAGTTCTGAAGACATCAAAACACCTCAGCTAAGCAATTAAACTGATAGGAAAGGCAGTGGGAACGTGAGAAATGGATGCTGGTGCTTGTCTGGGCTTTTTAGCATGTCTTTTAAAAGCAGACTGGAAACACTGGGCTAATATTTGCTCTAAAGTTTCCTATACAAATATACTGTAACCAAGAGGGTTTCCTTGCATCATCAATTTAGCTCACTCTTTTAAATGGAAAATTGAAAGTCCAAGATAGCATTCAGAGTATTTCTTGAAATTTCCAAGATGCTTAAATGCTCCTTATTAATCACATTATAAATTGGTATTTTTACATGCTACCGTTAAATATCTATATCATGAAATCAAAATCTGTATGTTATTTTGATAGCAGTTTTTATTATTATTTTTGCTGAGGTACACTTGTTTTTAAATTAATTGAACACCAGGCCAAAGATGGAAGCAATGGGAAAGGCTATAGATCCAAAGCACTGCATAAAACCAACTTTTTAAATAGATTAATTTTATTTTTTAAAATTAACCACTATGAATGTAAATGGAATATACTCTTCCTTCAAATAGAAACCTATGACAAATTTTAAAGTACATGTAATAGAATAGTTTTGTGTAACTGGGGTTTGAACAGGAAATAAAAGGACTAAGGGTTGACTTTCAAAGTTGGCCACAGACAGTGATAGACTTACCTCTCACCCTCTGTGTATGCATGGGAAAAGCCCAAAACGAGACTGTTTTGAATATAAAGGTGTTATTACTGGCATACACACACGTTAGTGCACAGAGGTATTTGCATATACAAGTCTGCACACAGGCACCGAAGACCGGGATGGAGTCCTCTCAAAAAATCAGGACTGCCATAGTAAATATATCTTGATTAAATAACAAATATAAAAGTATATCCAAAAAATCAGTTATGCTGTGGCAAAGCTTAGACGTGAAAGTAGAAGTAGTTAAATGGAGAAAAGTAGAAAGCAGCACATAAGCAAAGACTGGACACAATGTCAGAAGTGTCTATGGTTTGCTTGTAACCTATGAAATGAGTCTCTCTCCAGATATACCTATTTGTGTATAAATTCGGTGTAGAGTAGAAAGTTATGAACTGTGTATTTCATCTGTTTTGTTATGTAACAAATTAAATCTTTTCTTATTCAGCATATGGGTGAGTATCAATGTTCAGACAATGCACAGTTCTCCAGAACTCGACAGCAGCAATTACGTAATTTACACTGAATTTTATCTTGTTTTGTGGAAGCTTCCTATTGAAGTCTTCTATCTTCTAGTCTCGTCAGTACGATTTTTAAGAATGGTATGAGCTAGATATTAGAGTTTGGAATTGAATGGAATATAGATGTGGATATTAAAAGAAAACACTGTCAAGGTTTTTAATCTTAAAATCTGACTCACTACAGACTGATTTTTAAATTGAAAATACATTTTGGATTCCAAGTACCCAACTCATCCCTGAGTTATATACTGGCCTCAGTACTCACTTATGACTTAAAACTGTTTTGCCCAAATAACTAAGCTGCACATCTTTTTTAATCTAACTTGTCCACTGCCAGGAATTTTTTTAAAAATTACCATTGCATATGTGGGAATCTATAAAAACAATGTTCTACCTGCCACAATAATGAACTAGCATTATTCCTGGAGTGCTGACATTGATCTGACCCTTTGTCTTTACTCAGTCATAACTCCCATTGAATTAAATCCTGTAAGTTTTCCTTAATCAAGGATGCAGGAAAAGACACTGCATCTGGTCTAGCATGTAGGGCATGACATACTTTTCTCCTGTACAGCAAGTTGAAATTATTAAACAAAACCAGCAATGTTAATTTAAGCTTTATCTAGAACACTGGGATAAGAACAAATATTCTTGACATGGAAAGGCACAACGGTAGGGAAAATTTTAATAATTTTCAAATGGAACTATAATTCAGACCCTCAGAGAAAAAAAGAATCAGTTTCCTGTTAAAAATTAAACTAAAATAAAAAAGCTTGACAGAGTTCTTTTACTATAATATAAACAGAAGTCTGTACTCTTCAAAAGGTCAGGTCTGTTATACTGTGTAGTATAAATGGTTAGTTAGGTAAAAAAAAACCTTTAATGTAATAGTTGTGAATATCACTGACTATATTCAGTTTAGAGATGTGATGTACTCTGAAATTCTATATCAAATATAAGAAAATATTCCTATTAGGTGTAGGCTTTATAATGCAATCAGAATGTACATACCTGCATGCACACCATTCAGCTCTATCAGATGATTCAGCACAATGCTTAATTGATTAGCCCCAGGGTCTACATAGCACTATGTACAAGTTACTTAAAATGACATCTTATTTTGATCATCAGTCCCCTGTGGCCTGGAGTATTGGAAGACCGAACATAAAACAAAGGACCCTTTAATTTTTGTGATGGGGGGTCAGTTGAAGGACAAGGGGGTCCAGCACTGAGTGATATGAGAAAGGGGCAGATGGGAATAAAGGAATCAAGTTGAGCAGTGGGAGTGATAGGTGGGTAGCAATAAGGAATGAGAAGCAAACAGAGAATGGAAATGAAAAATACAGATTTCCATCTCAGATGCTAGTTATGTGTACACATTATTTTTTATTTTAAAGCAGAACTTACATTTTATGAAATGACAGTGCCACACTAACATTAATGAATGTGCCTCAATCTGGAAATGGAAAACCTTAAAATCATGTTCAATACTTGCCATTATGTTGGCCTGTTTTTTAATTTCCTAGTGGAAAAATTCTGAAGGTTTTCCCCATTATGGACGTTTTTTGTGCACTGTGCTGTGACCCTTTGCATTCCAAAGGTGAAACAGACATGGCATAAGGCTAAAAGTTATCCATGGCAATGGAATTCTTCCCAAAACCTTGCAGTCAGATGCTGTTATTGAATTCTGGTAATGGAAATGTCATTTGTCACAGAGTAAATAAGAACTGAATAAAATAACAATACAAAAGAACAAATTAAGTCTTATTATTCTGACATCTTTATTGAGGGAGGGGGACACACCCTGAAATCCCATTACTACAATTAGTAGTAAGGAGCTGTAGATAAAAGCCTGCTCCAAATCCAGCAGAAAACCATTGCAAAATAGTGACTACATATAATTAATCCAAATGTCAAGTTTGAATTTTCTTATTCCCTCCCTTTCCCGCTCTGTTTCTTTTCTTCCCCCCTCCCATATTTATTTTGCTTATTCCCTGAACATTATGCCTCCCTCCTCTCTTCTCTCCATCCTTTTCATCTTACCCTCACCTGCAGATCCTCATTTTTCCTCTGGAGTCTGTGCAATCTTTTAAATTTTGAGGGCTCCTTTTCCCCACTGTATCTTCTACCT